GCGGCAATAGAAACGAGACAAATAGCCGTAACACTTGCAGAAAGCACATATTAGTTCATCCTCGTGCACGTCAGCATCATCGATGATGAAGTCAAGTTCACAGGGCGCGTCCGCGTTACTCTTGCCGTCAACCTTGCAAGTGTGCGCTTTAGCAACTTTATGTTTTTCGAGAAATTCTCTCCGCAAGCGCGTTTCCCGATCGCGCATCCGCTGCATAGCAGGACCAAGCCACTTGGCCGTCTTGATGGTCGTATCCTTGCGTGAGGCCGCGGCTAGTAGTAACTCATCATGAGAGAAGCACGGTTGGCGTCGGTAGTCCTGGAGACGCTGCACCCCATGCTCCCCAAATGGCTCCCAATCACTTGGCGCAAAATTCACCGCCTCGTTGAGATTGAAACCATGGTTAAATCCAGCATGGTAAGCTTCGGGGAAGGTTATCACAAACTCGCCAGCACGTTGGTCAATTGCATAAACCTTGACTCCCGCTTTCAATAGTTGCTCGGGAGTGAGAAGCGTCACGAGTTGAAACAAGAGATCGGGCTGGCTTTCAAACAGTTCTGGTACTGCTTCACGCATAGCTTGCTCAAACTTGTCGGTATCCTCGGCTGGCACGCCGTACCAGGTCTTGGTAGCTCCAAAGTGTTGGTAGTTTGCAGAGTACGTATAGTGATCCTCGGCATGCCAACAGAAAGTTGAGAAAACCATTCCCACATACAACCAAGGCACTGTCATCCCTGAAATATCGGACTTGATATGGCGGAACAGCGAATCTGGCGCATACGGCAAAACAGTCAAGTTCCACGGGTCCGTAGAGTAGGGGTCTCGTGGATTCTTTTCAATGGTTGGAAATCCGCTGCCGTGAGTCGTAGAGTGAATGTCTGCTCCATATTCTACTTCAACAGTCTCTGTCACGTTCGCAACTGAATGCCAGAACTCGCGTTCAACATCGTCTTCTGTGACCGGCTTTGGTGCGTTAGTGACTGGATCAAAGGGCATTTTGGTAGCAAAATGACCCTGCTTGAACTGATGCGCTTTCTCCTGGAACTGCTTGAGCGAGTATATGCCCCCTTCTTCGAAACCAAATTCGCCTGTGCCTACCAGACAGCGTGGGCAGTGCCAGTCGTAGGCAGGAATGCCTTTGATTGGAGGATCTAAACAGTAGCCATGATAGCCAGAGTCGCAACTGTCACATAACAAGATGTTTGAGGGGTCATTATCGGTACCGCAATTTTCGCAACGATCACCGGGGCGCTCGTCGGCGGCGCGCACACGAGGGAACGATCGGCCTGGCGTGGATTGGCGAGGCTGAGTCATGTGAGAGCCGGCCACAGTGGGGGCAGCATCTTTCTTCAGGCGTTTACTGCGCCTGCCATTTGCCTCATCTGCATCGTCATTTGCACTGCTATCTGCATCTTGGGATAGGGTGCGCTTCAGCTGGTTGAATTGATGTCCATTGGACAATGGCGTCGAGCCAATACCAGATGGCCGTAAATCAGGGGTGTTGTCAGCTGACAACATTGGGCTGCCAACGTTGCGCAACGGCGTAGAAGTGCGCGACTCCAGCACATCTCGATGCATACTGCTTGGTGCGTTTACTGTAGCAAAGGAACTTGGAGTGGAGGGCTGCGTAGTTGGCTTAGGTGGTGGATGCGCGTTAACCGCTGTAAAGCCGCCGGAATTTACTGGTGTAAAGCCCGACTGCATGGCGGGCTTTGGGAGCTCGGGCGGCGGGGTTGGAGCTGATTCACTGTGCAGAGTCGCGTTGAGAGCTGCTGAAGCCTTCATAGCGGGCGACTCGGTGGCATTGGCTGCAGGCGTGCCCTGTAGCGATTTCTTCACAGGCGAATGTGCTGGTGAGGGTGTAAACGGTCCGCCGTGCTCGTATTCCAGCATCTGCTGCACACCAGGTTTCACCAACCGTAGGTACTCTTCGTACGGGTGCAACCATTTTTGGTACGAGTTTTTGAGGGATGTAGACAGCGAAGACATTATCTTGCCGCTGTAGCCGAGGTCGCGTCCTATTTCAGCCCATTTCTTCTGCTTGCAGACACGTTCAAAGCCACCCCTCTTCTCGACGGCCTTTTTGAGTTTGTAAAGGTCCAATGGCCGTTTGTCCACGCTTGGGAAGCGCGTGAGACTGTGGCCATGCTGCTTGTGAAATTTGGCGAGCTGATCCAGATAATTCAGATTGGCACGTGTACCTAGCCCTGATTAGACTCGGGTTAACAAGGCAAAGTTTGACTGGTACATACCCCCCTCGACAGAATTCAGTTCCTGGCGTCGCGTGCGAAAATGGAAGCGCTGTTCCGCATCAGTTTAGCTCAAAGTAATTCATTTTAATAGCAGCGAGGATGGGCACAGGCGCAGTCGGGTATGGCGCGTGCACTCACCTCTGTATCAATGGCAAAACCGGGGTTCCAGCTGTCCGGCGGAACAATCTTGACAATGCCGTACTTCTGCGCCTCTTCGCGGATGCTCTGGATGTACTTGACAGGGTCCTTGAACTGCTCAGTGGTCGGTCGATAGGTAGGAGCCTCGCGCAGGCCGAAGAGACGGTTCTGTTTGGGTGGCAGGTTGTTTGGCGCTCCATGCCCTCTGCGCTCTACCGTGGCGAGATCGAGTGGTGCTGCCTTGCGCGCGCTCAAAGGGATGGTGCCTGCCCCATTCGGTTGCGCGCCGTTCGTGGCAGGTGTCGCGCCGCCGCTCGTTTTTGATTTTGATGCTCCAGGGGCTCCGTCCGACACTCCATTGTCCGTGGCGACTCGAAAGGTAGTCATTGTAGCGCCTGTGGGAGGCCCGGCTTGGGGTATAAAGTCGACCATGGCCCTTTCCCTACTCGTTGCACCTGGCGGGACAAGTGGTAGGGATTATCTGCGACCTCGCGACGATGAAGGGGGTAATTCTTGGTAAGGCGATGGCAGTCGGGATTGAGTCTGTCGGTGGTGGTGGGCGCTATCGAGGGGATATATCTGCAGTCATGGAGGCTCTGGAGCGGCAAGCGACCGCTTTTGACCCAAGTCGGGCCGTAGAGTTCACTGATATTATGTAGAATGACACGCCCGGAAGATGGCAGGGCTGGGTATTGGCGACGAACGTGGGTGTGGACAGGTACGTATGTGTGGCGCGGTCTCGTGGGGAGCGGCGAGGTATGAGGAGGATGGATGGGGCCGCTGAAAGGTGCGAGAGGTTCCCTACTATGCCTCGCTAGCGGCGGATGCACTATCACACCCAAGGTACCGAACTCAAATCCATCGACGCTTATTCCGGCGGTGCGCAATCATCGGTCGCGTGTGCGAAATCCCAATGGTGCCTGCGCCATGCTACCCCGTGTTTTTGAGGTTGGCTCATCCATGGCACTGGTGTCCATTTGAAGGATATCAAAAGGGCGCGGTCACGGTAGTCATGGTGGATGGTATCAGACCTCCTACACGCCCCCCATCTGGCCACGGCATCACGGCTCCTACACCCTATGCTCGCGCACACACACCCCTGTCTGGACGCCTGTTCAATGGCTGGGCAGATTCATTGTATAACATGTCCCAGTCGGCACGTGCAAAGTGCTGGCTGCATCGCTGCCCATTTCAAGACTGCCGACCCAGACTACAAAGCCTCGTCAGTCCATGTTGATTCAATTCATTAGCCGTGTCGGACACAAGACTGGCTGTCATCAAGGATCTCGTTTCTGCAACAGACAGTCGTGGGATCCATGGGCACTACAGGTAAGAAGGCCGAGCGCAAGGTTGTCGCATCGGGAACCACCCCGGCCCCACCAATCACAGCGCTGCCCATCTGCACCATCCCGTCAGCCCTAACTGGCCGTTGCCGCTTCTAGATGCCATCGACAACAACACTCTGCCTCAACCTCACGTCCTTTACCAGGCCGTCCAATGGCCAGTCCTATCAAAGCAGAGAGTCGACCTATCCCGGCTTTCTACTGCTGCTATCTGCTTCGCTCCAAGAACCGCAAGGCCTTTTACATTGGCAGCACGCCTAATCCGGCACGTCGCCTGGGCCAGCACAATGGATCTACCAAGGGCGGCGCAAAGCGAACCTCAATGCAAGGCAAGCGGCCATGGGAGATGACTTGCATCGTCACAGGGTTCCCCTCCAAGTCGGCCGCCCTGCAGTTCGAGTGGGCGTGGCAAAACACGCACGCGACTCGCCACATCGAGCGAGATATACGCGACGCAAGACGAGACGAATTGTACAAGGGCAAAAAGAATGCGTCGCCCGCCAAGAGACCCCGGCCACCAATGTCGCTCGAGGCACGATTGAAAAATCTGCATCATCTGTTGGGGGTTGGGAGTTTCAGCCGATGGCCCCTACACATTCGCTTCTTTGCCCCCGACGTCTTCGCGCAGTGGGAAAGACACATTTCCAAGATGAAGACAAAGCTGCCAACTTACATCACAGTTAGACTAACACCAGCTGAACTTCCAAAGCTCGCATCAGACGTACAAAATGAAATGCGCACACATTTCATACCAGATGTCATACGAGCAATTCCAGTTGCATACGAAGACTGCAAGTCGTACGTTGAAAATTCTAGAAGCATGCTTGCAGACGATCAAAAGAGAGCTTGCGCTGTTTGCAAGAACAACTTAAATCCAGAAGAGTCGCTGGTGCTGATCTGTCCTATGGAGGCCTGCCGTTCCGTGTCACATGTGGCGTGTTTATCGCAAAAGTTCCTTGCAGAGGAAGGTAATAAAGACGCATTCATTCCGATTGAGGGAAGGTGCCCAAGTTGCCATACCGTTCTCAGGTGGTCTGATATGATGAAAGAATTGAGCCTAAGGGTGCATGGCCAGGAGGAGATCAAAGCCATGTTCAAGACAAAGCGGGCAAAGAAAGCAGAGGGTAGCGCTGTAGAAGAGGTCGACGAATTTCCTGACATTGACGACCTGGATGCTGATTTGGACGAAGATCTCGATGAGACGTGGGTCGAGAACGTGAACGAGGATGACGACAAGATTCCAGTGTCAAACAATGGATGAATACGTTTACCACTCTTCGACTGTTTGTAGCGGCAACTGTCCTTTCGCAACTCGCTCAATGCACCGATCAGCCTGCTCTCTGACCTTTGCCGCCACCTCTTCGAGACTGGCACCCGCATCGATGCGTACAAAGTCCTCGCCCTCTTTCTTCTGCATCAACGTCTCGAACAATTCTCGCACGCGGTCCTGCATGTCCTTCTTTTCGTACTTTTCCGTGCCAAAGCCGCCTCGTTTCGCCGCATCATCGGCAGAAATATCGAGGAAAAGACACAGGTCTGGTCGTGGGAGCCCGACATCAGGTTTCCGACACCACTCGAGGCTCATGTTGGGGTTCTGCTTGGCGGCTGAATACACGCAGCCGCTGTAGTAATAGCGATCAATGATGACTGTAGTGCCAGCAGCGAGGTCTGCTCGGATAGATGGACTACAATTGTAATTAGCGTCTAAATAGCTCATTCGGAGGATGCTGGTGGCCTACGCTGCTTCCCATCGATTGGCAGAGAATAAGAGATGAATCACATGATCCTCCTGGTCGCTTTGCCCACTCAGATAGCTATTAATCATCTGTCCGATCGGTGTCGTTCGATCTGAGTACACCATCAGTCTTATTCTTCCTGAACCCTTGATCTCCATGCAATAACTTCTTCGCGATCATTTTCTACCAAAATTCCCCATCAGGGCGTACACGTACCAGGAAACCGCATATGCCGCACCTTGACGCCATCATTTTGCAAATCCGCAACAAGCTTCTCGCACTGTGTGGATTTCCCTGCACGATCCAAGCCCTCGAAAACTATCAGTTTGCCGCGCGCCATGGTCGGGTTGGGGGGATTGGGTTCGCGTCGTGGAGGGGTTGATGCGCGGTCGAAGCGGCGTGTTGGTGGGGCGGAATCATGCATCGCGTCGCGAAGGCGCTAGTGAGGGAGTGTGCCTTCCGTCCTGTCATGATGTTTCTGAAAACATTGGCAGTCACTAAAACTTGGTTGTTTTTTTCCTTCGCTCATATTCTGAATTACATCTCTGCGACAATCTACATCTCCTCACTGTGATTCAACACGATTCAGGCTAGCTACGAAGGTTCGTATGACCGGATAAGAACAGCAGATGAGTGGTGCGAATGCCGTGACACAGAAGCGAGCTGTCTTGATCAATTGGCTGCTGGCATCCTGCAGCCAATTCTGGCATGCATATCGATTAGGTGTCGCTAAAAGTATGAAGGATCATAGCAGCAGCAAGCGATCCTGAGGTGGGGTGTTCAGCCTGCCACGATTGCAACAGAACATAACAATTCACAGAAAGGAAGCCACTCGTCTATCCGGATCAGATGATCAAGTAATGAACATTTTTTTGGCTATGATATTTGCTTGTCATTACAACCTTCCTATGGAAATGATTCAGTATCGAATGCCACAACACAAGGCTGACTAACTGCCATAGCCACACCAGCTCTCTACGCTTCCATGCTTGTTTCAGCCTTGCATAGGACGGTTAAATAGGCATCCTCCTAGCCCGCTTGTAAATCAGAATATCGACCCGCTCCTCATAAACATGGCAGACCCTTTCTCAGTCACCGGTACTGCAGTCGGCATAGTTTCTCTTGGCCTACAGACTTGCCAGATTCTTTACAAGTACTGCTCCGAGTTTAAGAGCTTCCCTCGCGATGTTGAGGCCATCCAACGGCAAATCAGAGGCCTTCAAGGCATCCTAGAAGGGCTCCGCGAGGTTAAAGAACAACTGGAAATCGACGACCATACGCCGTCTTCGCAATTACATATGGCATTGAAGGAGTGCGAAGAAACGTTGCACGACCTTATGGGGATGGTAGAGAAACGGAACCCCACTTCAAAATTAGAAAATGTTCAAACTCAACTTCGAGCTGTGAAGGAAAGGATCCTCTGGCCTTACAGGAAAGAAGATCTCAAAGAGGTGCAGTCAACGCTTACAAGGTTCCAAGAGAATCTAGCTCTAGCTCTACAGTGTGCCGGCATTGATGGCACGCTACGTCGGCTGAGAGGCCTACATTATGAGTTCATTGCCCAACAACAACAGGCGATTATGTTGGAACAGACCCTCAATCAAAATACAGAATTGCTTCAAATGATTCGTCGAGATGTTGCTTCGCAAGGCCCTGATCTGTCGAAGATATACAATGAGATCATGAGCCTACGAGCTCAGCTGTTAGAAGACAACGTATCTGTGGAGATTGGTAGATATCCGTTGGTGAGAAGTCCAAGATCCAGCCGTTAGAGTCTACAGATGCTAATGCTGAAATAGGCGGACAGCGACTCGTCTTCTCGGAAGTTGACCCTCACATTGTCATCAACAGTATATGCTTTCCCACATGAAGAAGACTATGAGCGCACATCTCAGCTTTCAAAACGGAGTTGTTTCGTCCAAACTGGGAAGTCTAATTCATGTCACTGTCGCTCGAGACGGAAGCGGAAAGTTGAATCCAGAAGATGGTACATGATCCAGACAGATGAAGCCTATGATCACCGAGAAGGCTGCCCTCGGTTCGCACATGGCGACTACACTAAATCTGTTGCTTTTCAGTTTTTCATGTACAACAGTCTAGTAAGGTTCTGCGTCCAGTTAGGATGGCAGTGTTCGAGAAAAGGTGGCTGGAGTTCACCAGCACCCGTGCTGAAATATCGGACTGTAGCTCCGCAAGACTCACCGGTGTTCAGGATCTTAGATTCTGAATTCGAGTTCTGTGACTACCGACTTTCACAAGAGGAAATGCGTAGCAAGATGGCAATCGTTTTCCCAATCATTGCACCTAAGCTTCAACAGGAGTTTCGAAAGGGTGCCTGTCCTACTAATCTTGATGAGGAAGGAAACGGCATTTTATATGTATGCGTTTACACCGTTTGTCTCCCCACAAACTGATGAAACACAGGCTGTCCTTCGTCTTATAAGTGTGGCAATAGATTTGATGGAATCTAGAGAGGAGTTCATGAGCACTGCGTCTAAGGTCATTGATGTGTGTTTCAACGCAGGGGTACCCTTCGACGATCAAGATCCCAAGGGACGGTAAATTCTCCAATGCTCGTTGCTTAAACTTACTAACTGGAGCAGCGATCCGGTAGACCATTGGCTTTCAAAACCACTTTTGTACTTTGGGTACACAAATGAATGGAAGTTGCGCTATGGTCATGTCTTATTTTGCCTTGCACAGAGGGCAGAAAGCTGGTCTTCCATACAACTTACATCCTATAGGCTGGGTCGCCCTTCATATCAGATGGTCTTTGACAATATCTCAGCTCTTTTACAATTAGAGTCGTTTTCCAACAGTAAGTTAACGGCCATCAACTCCAGATTCTGTCTCTGTATCCTGTCTCACAATTTCTTCTAGCATTTACTGATGACGACCCCCGACGTGAAGTCATACTGCGAAGATCAGAACTCGACTTCGCCACTCGTCTGAGAGCTCCAGGTGTTGACACCTGGGTATCTTTGTTCGCAGAATACGATTCCGTGTACGCGCTAGCATCATGGCGTGGAGGTCTGAGCACGATTTTATCTAGTCCCAATTTGAATTTATCACGGGATCTCCTAAAAAGGCTGTTGAAAGCAGCTATCACAATGGGGAATCTCAAGTCCATCGAGGTTTTGTTGAACCACGAAGTCCCCATAACACGGGAAACTTGGGACGACATAACATACTGTTTTTTGAAATTTGAGAGTCATGACAGACAGGCCGCTTTTTTGTTGACCATGATTTACCGTCACATTGCGAGTCATCTCTACCAAGACCACAACGCTGGTTCAGATGATCAAATCAATACCAGGGGTTTTGAAAGTGTCAACATAACCGAGAAGACCTCGTCACTGTATCATAATACATATCTGACGCTCTTATCGGCAGAATCCGCTTGGCAGGCAGGCCACCGTGGAGTGGAGTCCATCGGCTTTATTAGCAATTCATGGTGGCGCCAAGAAGATCGAATTGGTACCACCTTTTGGGCTCAAGCGATCTCCTGGATGTCCGGCCCCATGTTTAATTCTGAATTTCTTGCGACTTTTAGATGGCTTATGGGACATGGTGCTGACCCTTTTTGGGTACATCCAATTCATCTCACCACGCCAGCTCACATGTTTGTTCGAAACATTCCTTTTAATGCTGATTTCAACTCCGATCATAGGGAAGATATACTCATGCTTCTATCATCACAAGTTAGTGACAATTGTCAGTGTTACTGCTCACAAGATGGTTGTAGCGTAATCGGGTGTGCGATTTCAAGCCAATTCGGAAAGCACTGTTACGACTTTTCAATAACTGGTTTGCGAAAGTATCAGGCATACCTCTTCAGACTCGTCAATAATAACCACAACGATTCATGGATAGCTTCTGCAATACTTCGAGTCTTGACATTCGACAACCTGTCACTGACACATGCTGCTATCGAATTTACGAAGAGTTACTCGATCATTTCACACGCACGACACCCGAAGAAGCAGAAGAAATCCATGATCTCGAGCGCGATGACATCGAGCTTCTCGACAGAGTCGTCGCAGAGTTGGAAGAAAAATGGGCAGGGTACAAGAAGCCCTTCGTCACTTTCATGAATCGAGTATGGAGGCCTCGAATGCGAAAGATGCGCCTCGAGCGACAGGTAGACCAGGCCAGTTACGAAGCTGAATTGGTTAGAATCGGTGTCAAGTTGAAAGAGCCAAATGAGAAAACGAATTTGGAAATTGATTCGGACGAAGAAAGTGATGCAAGCTGGCCGGACGACTATGAAGATAGTGATAGTGAGGGATGGTACACAACCGACGAAGAGGATGCAGATGAAGTGGAAGATCATGGAGAAGGGAGCAGCTAGAAGCCGAGCTGTTTGTAAGGGTTGTTACAAGTACTTGAGCTGGGGGTGGGCGGTCACCATCTATTTGGTTTTCTTTGAACATAAAATTCAACCGATAGTCGTTTCCAGTATATCCGATACCGATGGGAATGAGTTTCACGGGTGTTTGTATGCAATCTAAAATTATATCAATCCAGTATGGATCTCCCACGTGTCATTCCAAGTTCAGTTTCAGCGAGTGGATTGAATACTATAGAATTCCAATAACCCTGATGCCTATCGATCTTTCACGGGATATCGTGAGTCTTACTTTTTTTCCCTCACTTTCGATAAAACTCATGGAGTAATTGAGATGAATAGAGTTGGCAAAGTGAAAGGAAGTGAACAAACTGATCCGAATCATCACAAGGCTAACAACGTGTCGCCCTCTACAACACTCGGAATGCAGCAAAATTCACAATTTTCAGAGCATATATAAGGCGTTGGATGGCCAAAAAACGACCCATCTACTACCCCTGTGGCCACGCAAATTCTAACCCCTCTGCTCATATCTTATTTGGCAAAACTTACTGAACGATTATTTGCCGCGCAAATTCAGAGAACTGATCAAGTCGTCATTCACTACCCCTAATTCTACGAATCTATATCTTCCGCGGAGCCATGCCCTAGTCAGCCTTGTGTGAACAAATTGCTTCTGCGTTGACACGTATGCTACCGATCAATATGCTGTGCCACGCCAACTCAGGCGTTCTCGCTGAATGTTACACGATATTGATAAGATGGTGTATGTACGTAACGAGTGATTGGATCGGTATCATGCGGCTTGGCGAGGGGAAGTCACAAGGCTGAGCCGAAGTTGCTGTTGCCTAGTCGTAACACTACTATCGCTCTATTCCTCCAAAAAGAACAAAATTCTGGCCACCCGGAGTTCTTTATTTTATTGATCTAGACACCTAAGATGACTGAAGATATTACTAACATTCTTACTGCGGGAATTGCTGCGCTTGACTTAAAACAGTCGACCCAAGAGACGTACACGGTCGGGAATAGTGCGAGCAAGTCGTTGAGCGGCAGTGTTTCGCAAAGACCAATTGCGAAGTTTACTCGTCGTGTTAGAATTCAGCACGTAGATCAGTCGCGTGGCAGTTCAGTGGAGCGAGCACAATCATTAAGTGCAAAGGACAAAGAGAAGGCTGTTGGAGACATTTCTCGGCTGCGTAAAGATTCGCATTCCGAGACTGCTAGCGACAAGTCGACCACTAGGCCACCATTGGACGTGGTACAATCTGAACTCGAACTTTTATTGCTCGAAAATAAGAAACTGAGGAAAGAGGCAGACAAATCCAAGGCAAAATGGAACGAGGAAATCTCGAGACGAATCGAAGCAGAAAGCGACCTGAAGAAGAAAGAAGACGAATTAGTTGCATGCAGAAAAGAGCTAGAATCCCTAAAACATCAAACCCAACAACTACGAAGTCGCACCACCACCGAGCAAATAGCCCTGGACGGAAAAAGCTTTCCTACCCTCACCGGCGTCTATTTCACAAAAGACTATGAAGAAACCGACTGCGTCACGCAAGTAACCCTCGAACTCACCCCCTCCAAGATTTTTACCTTCCCAGCCAAAGAATGGATGGAAAACGAACTGCTATATGAAGGCCATGACGACGGCGCCATAGCCCTCGTCCGCCTCTTTGGTCAACTCTACGCCTCAAAATGCGGACGTAACCGCAACTCTTACACCGACTTCATCGACTGCGCCATCTGGACGCGCGAAGCCATCTTACTCTCTAAAATGTTAGGGCTAGAGCTGGAGCGCGGGTGGGCGATGCATGCAGAGATGCAATTGATTGCTTTTTGGCTGACGCGGTACTTGGGGTCTGCGGGGTTTGGGATAAGGGATTTTGATGATCCGGCGGCGTATAAAGTGTGTCCGGAGGTTGAGGAGAGGGGTGTGGTGAGGATTTTTGTTAGTCAGAAGGTTTGTGCGTCGTGTTTGGGGGTTGTGGAGAGGGTGAATTGGGTTGTGGGGAAGTATGGGGTCGAGTTTGAGGTTGTGGATGGGAGGGTGGGGTAGTGGTTGAGGATATTGGGGATGAGGTACGATCGAGTGGTGGTTTCAGAAGTTGAGCAGGTAGGTACTTGGGTGATGCAAGGTTACGTCGTTTCGGTTTTGACGGAGATAAGTAATAGAGAGTTCAGCCGATTGCGGACGTCTTGAGAGATGTTCTTTGCGCTTTTGAATATTTTAATTACTTTATTCCTGTCTTCTTCCATGCGTTATTGAATGTGAGCGATGCGGATACGTGATGCATCATGCAGCGCATTGAACGCAGAAGATCACGACAACTTATCTTGAACGGTCTCGGTTTCAGGAGCATACAAGCGGTATTTCCGGAACTTGGGCTCAGACAAAAGTTGCAGGTTGCAGGGCGTGGCAATATCTGGCCAATCAGTACTCATGATGTAGTTCGGCCGAGTCTCCCCCTCCTTGTAGTGTAATTGTCAGCTACAACGTGTCAGACGGAGAGGTTAACTCGATCCTACGCAATACCAAACTTAGTTGCCTGAATGACTCCAGATATAAAGGACGGAAATGACCGGACAGGTCAAGATGAAAGTCCCAAAGAGCTATCCATCTTTCTTCGAGGCCGATTTATCGAATCAGAGCCAGCGGAGCCCACATTAGAAACTACTCACCGGATACGGCGATCACCGAGACCCGAGGATATCAAAAGAGTTGAAATCTCAAAAGATCATCATACTCCTCTCTTGCACAAACACCATCTCATCGATACCAAATTCCAAAATGTCTTCTCCAAAACTCATCGTGCACCACCTCCAGGTTGGCCAAGGCGAGCGCATTCCATGGCTTCTCGAGGAGCTCAATATTCCTTATGAACTGAAGCTCTACCAACGCTCGCCCCTACTCTCTCCGCCTGAGCTCAAAGCAGTGTATCCTCTCGGCTCTTCTCCTGTACTCGAGGATGTAACGGACCCCTCCAATCCCATCAAGATTGCCGAATCAGGTGCCATCGCAGATTACATCATCCAAAAGTACGCAAATGGCCGGCTGGCACTGGGACCGCAGCACAAGAACTTTGCAGACTACTTGTACTGGTTCCATTTTGCGAATGGAACCCTACATCCCACCTTATTCAGGAGGACTTCGGCTCGAGCAATGGTTGGCGAGCAGGATCCCAGGTACATAGGTGTGGCTGATCGCGCCGCGAATGCATTGCAACATGTCAACAACCGTCTACTGAACAACACCTGGCTCGCAGGCGAGGAGTTTACTGCCGCGGACATCATGAATGCGTGGACCTTTACGACGATGCGCAAGTTTGAGCCAATAGACCTGAGCGACTATCAGGGTATTCTGGCGTGGCTCAAGCGCGTTGGCGAGCGTGAGGCATATAGACGCGCCATGGGCAAGTCCGACCCGGATCTGAACCTTGAGGAGGGTCTCAGTGCCAAAGGGCCACCGCTTATGGAGGCATGGGCCAAGGCTATGGGAATGAAGCCGTGAGTGCGGTGTGCAGCCTCAAAGATGTGCGGCTGATGGATTTAGGGGACGTCAGAAGCTTTGAGCAGGAATTATGGTAGATGTATATATGTTATCTCTGCTCAGGAATCTCACAAGTTACGTCAACGCTCAATTATAGTATCATGGTTTGCGCAGTATCGGTGTTGCACGTGAGCTCCAAAGATGACATGAAGCTAAGGGCCATCGGAATCCGCCGGCAGCGTAGGATGCCCCCGGGTCCACTTCGAAGCGAGCATTCAGGTACAACACGCCATGTCCTCGACCTCATCACAACCACCTGATCCGTCACACCACTCATCCCGATGCAGGTACGCGTCGCATTGCGATCTGGATGGCCTCATTGTTGCCAGAGTTAGCCAATGCAGCATGAGCGTGACCTGAGGCGATCGGACACGCCATGGCGAGCGGGGTTTCTACCAAACGGGTAGTGGTACTATGAGATCACATAAAGCTTGATGACCCCTCACGAGAGCACCTCCGCATCTCGTAGTTTCCAGCAGTATACATAGCTCCGAGTCCTCTTATAATCACTCAATCCACATCTCTGAACTCTCAAACTACTCCTACAACTCCTGCAACTCCTCCTACAGCTCCTACAGCTCCTACAGCTCCTCATCATGGCTGCAGCAAAGTACTCCCGCCGTCCCAGCTACCTGGAAGGCCCATTGTCTCCTTCGATCATTCCCGATCTAGCTATCCTGCCTCAACCCCTCCCTGCCAACACGGTCTCGTGTGGACAGTTGGTCTCCAAATCATCCAAGCATACACCCAAAACACTAGAAGACCGTGACTACGACGATGTAGGCACGCGATGGTACGCGTTGTTTCTTCAAACAACATAGCCAATGTGTACTGACTCCCTGTAGGTACAAGGATGTAATCTTCTTCAACTCGGAGAACGGTCACTTCGTTGAGAGCTTTGGTGGCGCCCACCTAGTACAGAAGCCGCTTGACAAGGGCACCGAAGCTGGCACCATCGAGGCGGAGGAGCAAAGTGTGCGAATGCTGAAAGATGCCGAAGCCGCTCTGAAGAAGGTCTGGCAGGACGAAGAAGCCAAGAAGTGGATCAAGGAGCAAGACGAAGCCGGCTTTGTAGTCGCTCATCGCCAGGTTGCCAACGCAAGCTACAGGCGCGCTAGGCTCGTTGATGTTGGCAACAACAACTGGGAAGTTGTGCGTGAGATAGGCGGCGAGGACGCCTCGGGCAAGCGGAGGGACTCTGGTCTACCCATTGATACCAACAGCAAGTGGGATGTTGTGGGCGTTGTCGTCAGAAAGATCATCGTAGATGGTGACGATGTCAAGCTTGGTGAGGAAATGGGTGCTCAGTACTGCAGCAGCTGAGCACACGATGTATGGATGCTTAACACCACGCCGTTCAATTGACAGCCCTTTGGCTGCTGTATCGGCGCACTCTACTCTTATTTATATCATCTTAGCGGGTTAAATTCAATAATACGAAAACGACATTTCACATCCAAGATTCTCCATGAATGAGATAACTGATGACGACCATGAAAGAGTTTCGACGCGGTACATTAACCTGTTTTTTCAAGTCTAAGAATTATTGGAATACTCGTAGTAACTACGTAAGTATCCGAGGTAGGATGGCGATCAGTGTATCTGTACTTGGGCTAATGCAAGGCCGAAGCTGCCCCCTCTACTACCACATCCCAATCCGTCCGCCAATGCCCTACCATACAGCCACCAACCTACGAAGAGAGCATAATTGCATGCAAACATATCCGGTATGACTTGCATATATTGCCACTACACTGTTCAGAAAGAAGCAATACAAAATCCCCACGTGCTGGTCCCTCGCAAAGCACAAACGCGGAAAGTACCTTTGTTCGCCCTAGCGCCTCACCATGCAGCAACCTCTTTAACGACCACAACACCGGACTACCTGAAACAACCCGTGGAAGAAATAACCATCACTCTTTCGGGTATTCACTCACTCGGATTACACAGAGAGCACGGGGAATATGCGGAAAACACCGGCAAAGGCCCACCTGCCTGCACTTTCACCGTACCTGCCCTAAACAGCAACCCAACATGTTTGACCTACGACTATATAACTCCGCCCCCTTCCCCACCCTCTCCCATCTCTCCACCACGAAAAAGCGGACACCTTCAAACCTACCTCTTTACACACAAACATACACTCTTTCAACCTCCAAAATGCACTTCCTAACCCTCCTCCTCACCTCCGTCCTCGCCGCTACCCTCGCCATGGCCTCTCCCGCCCCGATGCCCTTGCCCGAGCGCTTCGAACCGCCCTGGCCCGCCACAGGTCCGCTTTCAGGCTCGCTTCCAAAGAACATGGCGAAGATCTGGGTGTTTGATGATATGAAGTGCGATGATAATGGTGGGCGCACTTACATGGTGAATGTCATGCCTGGTCGGGATCGGTGCTTGGCGTTTACGAATGTGGGGTCGATATTTTCGTGGTTTAAGTCGGATATTGGGTAAGCTTTTTTTCTCTTTTTTCTTTCTATGAGTGTTTTGAAAGGGGAGCGGGGCTAACGGCGATATATAGCAAATGCGAAGTCAGTGTGCACAGCGGAAGCGACTGCAAGGGCTGGAAGTGGACGACAAGGAATAAGGCGTGTAGTTCGGGGCATTTCGCTTCGGTTCGGGTCAAGTGTCCCAAGGCGTAAATCGCATGGGCAGTAATGGAGCTTGCGATGTAGGATGGTGGTGATTCGGATCGGGAAAATGCATCAAGGAGGATTCGGCCTTTCCCCTTTACTAATTATACATGACTTGATTTCATAGCCTGTATCATAACTATTCCCCCAATCAAACACATAAGAAAACCTGGTCTCTCTTTCTCTCACTTCCCCAACAACATCAATCTCCCTCCTCTCAAAAACAGAAAACGCCCCTAACACAAAACCCCCCATCCCAACAACAACAACCACCACCACCACCACAACTCCTCATTCCCCCCCCTTCAAGTATTCCACCCAGCATACTTATAGCACCTCCAACACTGCTGATACTCCTCCTTATACGGCACAGCCAAATACCGTGCCTTGGCACAATCATAACAAACACTATTATGGATGCGCTCCATGCACGACGCGCACGACATCTTCATATGCAGCACATTGGAGCGGCCGGCGCGGTAGCAGTAGTCGATGCAGCGCTGCTGCTCGGCCACGGGGCGGACGTGCATCGGCTTCGTGTCTTTGAAGAAGAAGTAGAGCGTGATGAAGAGGGTGAGGGAGACGAGTTTGAGGATGTGCATGGTTTGGAGATTTATTAAGGCTTGGCTGGGGTTAGATATCTATGGGTGGAAGAGGGGCGGACAAGGTACCGTGATACGAGTGGGCAGAATGTATGTGTGTGTGTGTATGCCTTGGTTGCTTTTTTTTGGATTTGGTTAAGAAGAAAAACCTGTTTCTTGTGCTTGAGTTTGGAGAAACTGGAGAGAGAGAGAGAGAGGCACAAGGGGAGGTGGGCGGCGAACGGGAAGTCTTATAATACAGTATGAAGCAGGGACTGGGTAGATGTTCGAATACCATGTATTGACTCTAACTGGAATTGTGACGCAGGAAAGAAGGGGGCAGATGTGAAGTCGAGCATGTCATGATACACGCATTGAGGAGAGATGAATGCGGCGCCAGAGAATCAATCGTGTAAGGGGGCATGATGACACTGGAAAAGGGATACTTGCAGCTACGAAATCAAGACTGCGAGCCCTGATATTACCGCTATAGGAATTCTAGAATTCCCGTTTCTCGAAGAGACTCAGTTGAGGTGAGGTAGGATAGGGTTCATCTTGGATAAAGTCCCACTCCGACCCATGGAAAGAAAATGAGGGACTTGGGATATTAGGGCTCAAAAAGTAATTAGCGCATCATTTGACGTCTCCAAACTCGTTTCTGGTTGTCATTTACATTTCTCATTCACTTAATGAAGAGGGGGTCCGCATGAGCAGTAAACCCTAATCCAAATTGTACATCCCCTCAACCTGTTTCGGTTGGAGGCAACCCCTCCTTCCATCTGCGAAGACTATCGACTCATTCGCTGGAGTCTGATTGTTGTAGAAACTCTGGTACTACCATGTGCGCTATCATAACGCCTAACACCAGGTATAAACAAGTATGAACCAAAGGGAAAGTTGAGAAGACGCTGGCAGACTTCTACGAGAGCGTGATGTCGCTAGCAGTCCCATCTCCATTCTGTTCCATCTTCACGTCTTCACCATCCCCACCTGCCAGAACTTTGGTCTGTGGGCGGTATCCCTCCGGCGGGCCTACACCAGGTGTGCATGCTGCGACATTGCCCTGCTCGTCGACAAACTCGAAGTTGTACCGGGAGAGTAGGTGTGGAATTGCTGAGAGTTGGGGTCCGTAGCGAGCGGTGTTATCATACAGTTCGAACAAGGGGACAGCGAGGAGCTTCATGTTCTTTGGAACGCTGAGGACCTCTGCACATGGTTAGCAATCTAATCATTCCAACAAAGGTAGGACCGAACACACTGCTGCGGGGAAGTTGGATGAAGTAAAGCTTCTTGCATTCCTTGGGCCTGGTAACGTGGGCAGGAATGAAGGGGTACATGAAAGTCTCAAAGTTGGGACGCCACCACTGCGCCAGTGTGTCTCCAACTACCCATTCGTCGTTGACGCCCTCTCCTGTGAACTGTGTTCCGACCGGTGCAAGGCGCTCGTTCAGCCTCGCCTTGAAACCCTCGATCTCGTCATCTTCAGCGCGGAGGTAATCGCCAGGACTGTCGCATTCGTTGGTATTTTCAGTATTCGAATGATATTACAAAAAATACTTACAGCTTAAAGAAGGCGTTTGCAATCTGCAGCATGAGAATGTGGGGATGGTTGTGCTCGTGGCAGACCAGTATGCCTTCGCAAGTTCGTCGCATGCCGTGTTCCAAGTAGTGCTCTTCGAGTCGCTTCAGTCGCGCAAGGACAGAGGGGTCCTCTTCTGGCTGACCATCCTTTGTTCCAAAAGTATAATTGCTCAAAGGATACAGACGGATCGTCTTTGGCTGGTTTCCATTAAAGTCCTTAGGAATGACGGGGCTGTCTGTGTTAGATGAATGTGGGTAAGATATGATGAGGTAAAGACTCACGGATATGAGCTTTGGGAAGCTTCCTTTACTATCGTCGACATTGTGGTGGTGGTTGAGTGTTGTTGCGATTGATGCAAGTCGCAGCTACTTCGCGACAGTCGAGCCGTCGCGGTAAGCTTGCAGGGATGCGGACGTCTCGCTAGCACGTGATAGCGCCCCGGCCCTTCCCTTCCTCAGTCACTTTCAACTGCTCATCTCAAGCCTCCAAACTTGCGCAACTCTCTCCCCAAGAAAAACAGTCGAGAATCCTGATTGCTGTGCTCGGTTTCGATATTCGAGGCATGTCGCACTCTGCATTAATTACTGGAGGTAAAGCGAGCCTTGACAAGTATCACGCTGCTGGCTGACCCCAAGACAAAGCCAGTGGCCTGCTCGGACGTCAAGTGCAGCGAGAATTCTTCATTGATGGCTGGGAGTCGGTTGGAACTGGTTTGAACCGCGTAACCGCACCCAATGTTGTCAAACTTGACATTCGAGACCATGGAGAGATTGAAAAGGCACTAGACAACATCAAACCTCTTGTTGTGGTCCATTGTGCTGCAAATCGTTTTCCAGACTCATGTACTGCCAACCCGGAAGCAGCAAGAGCGCTCAATGTGGAGTCAAGTCGCGCCTTGGCTCAAGCAACTATAGCTCGAGACATCTTCCTCATCTACATATCCACTGATTATGTCTTTCCGGGGCGCCCAGGCGAGGCTCCTTACAAGGTCGACGCTACCCCAAACCCGCCAAATGTGTAAGTTAATTTGGATGCATCCTCAAAGTTGTTATCGAGATTAGGCTGACGGTCATTGCTAGTTACGGCCAGACCAAGCTAGAAGGCGAACAAGCTGTTCTTGATGTTGCAGAACTTGTCAATGCAAAGAACAAAGTTGTTGTCCTTCGAGTTCCTGTCCTCTACGGAGCCTGTGACGAGCCCAAGGAAAGCGCAGTCAACGTACTCATGTCGCAACTATGGAATGCTCAGCAAATAGGCGAAGGCGAACCCAAGATCCAAGTCGATGACTACGCACTCCGATATCCTACCAACACTCAAGATGTCGGCAGAGTATGTCGTGACATAGCAAGGCTGTATCTGAATCCCGCCAATGCGTAAGCAATAGGAACATCACACACAGTCACTTAATCATTGCTGACAACTTACCAGAACCCGTGAACTCCCCAGAATCCTTCACTTCAGCTCAGAAGACCAGATGACCAAATGGCAAATCTGCCAGACTTTTGCCGACATCATGGGATTGCCGCTCGACAACATGGTGCCCTTCAAGCCTGAGGAAGAACCGAAAGATGGTACCATTCGGCCCTACGACTGCCATCTAGATACTAGCGCCCTTCGGGATCTGGGCATCGACGTCTCGACCGTGGACTTTAAGACGTGGTGGTAGGGGTGTATAAAAGCCTTGTACTCGAAACCGCTAACCATATTGCAGGAGACGCGAAGTCGGGGCATTCCGCTAACACAGCAAGCTCTGTCTCAGTTACAACAACTGCACTTTTTATCCATATATCGATAAACTGCTCATCAAATGCATACCACAGTCCTGTATACATCATTCCTGTGTACTATCGCAAGGCTGTCTGCCTCACATGCCAAGACCATAGAGAAAACCGGGGATCGTCACACCCGTTGCCAGCAAAGCCACCCGCACCTGCATAGTTACTCTAAAAAGAAAAGCATGTATCCACTTGCCGCTGCATCGCTGCAATCGTATTGGACAGTAAACAAATAACATTAATCGCTGTGTTCCTGATGGCATTGCTCTAGGCTACATGAGGAACGTTGTCGCTAAACCATTGGCCCACATGTGTTACTGCGCCGCAGCAGGCGCCTCGAGATTTGGGGGCGCTTATGCTGCCATGAGCTGCGAATAAGTACCTATCGTGTCAACATGTAGAAAGTATCAATCCAACTCCTAGTATCCTGCTGCACGATTTTTCTGTTGTGTTTTGTTCCTTTCATTGGTAATTGCTGTTTTTTAGTCCACTCGTTTTTTTCTCTTCATCATGGATGATGCCAGTGCTACATCCGTGGCGCAACCAAGCGTTGCTAACGCTACTACTCGACCAAAGAAGTCGGGTGCTTTAGTATCAATCTTTTCAAGAAGCAGTTCGGAAGACCAGTGTACGTCGATACTCGGCTATCTACACCGCATCACAGTTAGATGTTAACAGAAAAGCACAGCGCCCAAACGATGGAAACCAGCTGCACTCCGCGCTCCAGTGCTAATTCTAACCATACTAATATGCTGGTCGTTAATCGCCGTAGTCCAAATACTACTGACCCGGAGTCAGCAAAACCAGGGGATAATCTTCGCACCGAGAATCAGTGATCTACCACTAAGCCGCACGTTCTTATACTTGTACTTTCCGACTATCGTCGCTGTGATGTTCAGCATGTACTGGGCATGGATCGACCTGGAGACCAAACGCATGGAGCCGTACTACCAGCTTAGCAAGGAAAACGGTGCGCTGGGCAAGGACTCGATACTGCTCAAGTACCCGTTCGACTTCCTCCCGCTAGTCCCGATTAAAGCGGCTAGAGATAGGCATTGGCCTGTCTTCTGGGCTTCGTTCGCAGTCGTTCTGGTAACCTGGGGACTAGTGCCTACGCAAGCTGGTATCTTCTCTACGCGTTCCATTACTCGCAATGACACTATGCCGTTTGACCGCTCAACAGCGTTCGTACCTGCTAGCGACCAGGCGTCGACGTTGACGCTGCGCTTTGCTCAGTCGGCATATGGCATTGCGGTGTTGAATGAGACGCTGACACAGTATATGGCCCGGAACTATACGCTCGCTCCGTTCCGACCGGCACCTGGTTCGAAAACGGATAATAAAACTGTGCCGTACGGGAATTGGACGGCGCCGACGACAATGTATAGTTTGGATTTGTACTGTGAGCCTGCCATCATGAGTCCCGGCCGTCTAGGCAACGGAGCCATCGCCAACAGTTCCACCGGATGCTCTTTCAGGATGGGGTTAGATGGGAATCTTACTGTTGGTCCGAACAAGGCGCACCCGGGCTCGTCTGTACTGCGGAATAAAGAGTTCACAGCCATGTATGTTGGTTATTCGAATCCATTTGGCTTTGCGGACTATTCCCTGGATACATATTGTCCGGAGACAACCAGCGCACCATTTTATGCTGCGATCCAGCGCAACAAAGCCAAGGATACGGATCGTGTTCAGAATGTTACAGCAATTTACTGCTGGCCGACTTACTACCAACAAGATGTAATTGCCACCGTGGACGCAGTTACGTTGGAACCTACAAAAGTCGACGTTGTCGGAGACAAGAAACCGCTCCAGGATGGGATCTTCAACATGACTCTCTTGGAGCAGCTCACAAGTAGCTACTCGCCAGGGAACGAAGTGAGGGGCGATCTTCTACCGAGTAAATCGACGCCAAAATACTTCGATCCCGTCGCACGCACAGATTTGAGTCTGAGCAGCGGCCCCAAGGGTGCGGCCGTGGTGCACGCAATGGTGGGTCTGGCATTGAGCGTTAGCAACCGTCCCATAGAAGAATACCTGGACTGGAAAGTCCTCGCCAAATCTTACGCAGATGGTCACAGGTTGATATTCGCGCGCGCGATGAGGGATGTGTTGGACCAAGATTTTCGCACTGTCGACAAAATTACTGGGCGACGAGTAGACACTACAGAAGCTGTCTTGGTGGAGCCAGTCTTTGTTTACATTGTCGAGGGCTTTCTTGGAGTCATATCCATAGCGGCCATTGCACTGCTGTACTTGTCGGTTACTCGAGAAAAATGTCTTCACTCCAATCCGAGTACCATTGCTGCCATCATGTCCATGGTCGCTGATAACGAGCTGTTGCTGGCAGATGTGGAAGGATTGGACTGTTGCAAAGAAGATGAAATAGAGAAGCAGCTTGGCCAAAAAAGATATAAGCTTCTTGACGACGGATCTTCGATTGGGTAAGTTTCATTTAGTATCGACTAAAATGGATATGTCGCTAAATTCAGAGGCAGTCTCATCGAACTGGGTCATTCTCCCATAGTCGTCGGTAGTACTAATCAGTCATCACCCCCAGGACAGCGCCGCGACAAACTGACAGATATTGCGAAACCCGTTAGACCTTTTGAATTTAGCCTTTGGGTTGCCGGTCCACTCGTCAGTGTTTTTATAGCCTTGGTAGTCATTCTCACTGTTATATTCACCAAGGCTCGATTGCAGGGTAAGATTCATTGCCGTTCAGCCGGAAGTACTTAAAAGCGCTGACTGAGGCAGGCCTGCCCCTCCCTTCTTCCAACACGATCGTACAGAATATATTGGAGAATTACATACCCACCGCGATAGCAACGCTCATCGAACCGATATGGCTTCTTTTCAACCGTCTACTGTGCATGCTGCAGCCGATTGAGGAACTCCAGGCGTGCAATGCACCTGCGAAAAAGTCAATTGATCTCAACTACAGCTCTCTTCCGCCACAGCTCGTCGTTTTCAAAGCTCTGAAATCAAGACATTTTGTCCTTGCCGTGGTTTGCATAATGGCTTTGCTCGCGAATCTGCTCGCAGTAAGTCTGGCAGGCCTGTTCAACCAGGCCACTATCGACATGCGATACACTACAACTACGAACCCACCATATGATTTCAAATTTGTCCCAATCAATGGTACCATAGGTCCTATAGGTGGCGAAACCTTTGGTGCACTACAGGCATCTGGAGCTTACCAAGGTGGTAATGGAGAGGATCAATTCTTGATTGCCGACTCACACCTTAGACAAGGTACTCCATTGCCTGCATGGACTGACGAAAAAATGTTCTACCTACCGTTTCTTGCAGAGGGAGCCAACGCCACATCCTTGCACGGCGTAGAAGCTAGAACAAGGAGTATCGGCGCGAACCTCACGTGCAGCAGTCTCGAATTCGACGAGAAATTCCAAGCTAGCTTGCTTGATGAGAGCCCAGGAAGCGATACCATCAGACCTTCTGTTAATATCACCGTCATTTCTGACGCTGGGAAAGCCGTGCGATGCACTAGAACCGAGGTTTATATGCGCCAGGGTCCAATATCGTCCAAGGAAGGCAGCTGCGTTACTGGACCAAGTGCAGCTGAACTTGTGTTCGTATTGGGTCCAACCGCCAATGCTTCTCAGGCCGATGCAGAAGTATGCATGGGATCAGTCGTCCTGGGATGGCTTCGAGATCGTAATGGTACCTGTGGAAACTTCAAGGCAAGGGCACTGAACGAGCAGAACTCTGCTTTTGTTCACTGTCGACCGAAATTAACGACAGGCTTTGCAACAATCAGTGTCGACTCTAGTGGTCGGTTGCTGAAGAAAGCACAGAATGTGACAGTGGATGGCCAGGTGCCAACGGAAACCTTCAGTAACGGCCCCATCAACCTTATTGGCCAATCCAACAGGTACTTGTTCATGACCAGTAGTTCTGCATGGCACAATGACAGCTTCGCCGACGGCTTTATCAATTACTTCGTCAGTCATGTTACCAACAACAGCCGCTTGGTCGACCCTACACAAGGACTGCCCACATTTGGAGACATAGAAGGCCCCTTGAATGAGGCATATTCCCTTCTATTTGCAATCTGGATGGGAACCAATAAAGACAAGTTGTTGATATCCAGCCAAACTCAGAACGCACCGACATCAAAAGGTTGGCGCATAGAGCCGGAAACGCGCCTCTTCATGTCGATGCCAATGTTTGTCATTTCCGAGGTCATCTTGTGCACCTATGCCATCGTTGCAATCATGGTGTACATGCGTCGACCTGGCCGCTATCTCGCACGGTTGCCCACATCGATCGCTTCTTTGATGGCCCTGTTCGCCGCTAGTGCAGCAGTTCTGGATATGCGGGGGACGTCCTATCTAGACAAAAGGGGCCGAGCCCAACATCTTGAGAAGGTGGACGCGAGGTACGGATATGGGAGCTTCATTGGTGGTGGTGACGGGAGAGTTCATATTGGCATTGAGAAAACACCATTTGTGAGAGTCAGGTCCAAAGCCACTTGGTTTGACAAAAAGGTTGCTTCTTGGCGGAGGGGCTCAAGCAGTTAACGCTTAATTTAGAGATTCAAACTGATCAGCAAAATAAGCCAGATTTTATCCTGTTTGTGTTTCTTTTCCTGTGTCCAGCATCTTCAGTGCTCTTGAAACACTACTGTGCTGACGCAGCCATGCTTTTGTTTGCAGTGTTTCTAGAGTATCAGTCCCGAGCGTCTGGAGAAACTGGGGCTAAACGGAAAACTCTTTCCGCACCAATGGAAACTCCCCGGAGCTGTTGTGGGAATAGCACCATTGACTAGTCACTGTCCTCGTCTAAGGGGGCCGAGGAGGAACATGCACACTGATGTCCACAAGTCCGATGCGGGACATGTGGTAATGTGCTGAATCTTCAAACGAGTTATAGCTAAGTATGCCGTTCGTCATGGGGTAAAACCTAAGAGCGGATATTTGCACCCATTGAGACAATGAGCG